GAGAAGATTGAGGGGGAAAAAGTGTCATTTACCGGTTACAACATTTAACAGCTTTTGGACTTTTGCTCTTCTTTTTCTTCTCTCAAACGCTCTTTCTCTGTGCTGTGTGTGATGCAGCAGCATTTAGAGTGTCGTTCTGTGACATTGACTCTAGAAAAGAGATAGAAAGAGAAGGGAAAGAGAGCGAGAGAGAGAAGCAGGAAAAGAGAGAAGAAAATAAATTGTTGTTGGTCTCGGGGAGAGTGAGGGGCAGTCGAGCAGTGATGCGGCGGGAAGCACTGGTATCATGGAGTTCTCAGTATTCAGAGGAGAGAGGTGTGTATTTATGTTTAGTGTCTTTACTGATTGTAGTGTGGTAGGGAACCATACGGTATGAGGCCTACTCAAATCTAAAACCCTTTTTTTTTTATTGATGATGACATAATCCATTATTATTCCGGTTGTTATTGTTAATATTATTTGTAACATTATTGTTTTTGATATATATGTATATATATATATATATATATATATATATTAGTGCTGGGCGGTATACCGGTTCATACCGAATACCGGTGTTTATTTTTGTTATGATATTAATTTTTAAAATACCACAATACCGGTGTATGTCACTCAAACAACGTTCGAAAAGCGACACTGTTTGAAAGGGGTCCCTTTTCACTGTTGCACTGTCGTGAGGGAACAGCTGTATGTGTTACTAAGCGTGAAAGTTCCGAAACTGAAGCTATAGAACTAATAAAACCTGAAGGCTGCATTTATGTTTTGGGTGTGTAAGTGTGGATGAAGTTTGATCGTCGTTATAAGTACATCTAGTGTGACAAGATTTGTCTTTACAATTTCAGAAAGATAGAACAGAGAATTTGTATAAGTATATTCTGTAATATTTTCTAAAAAAGCGCGCGCACACACACACACACACACACACACTCTCTCTCAAAGTTAGAGACAAATTGACAGGTTGGGATTGGATACCTGTTAACATGACTTTACAAACAGGCGGGAAAAGAAAATTGAAAAAGAAATAAATAATATTAACAACCTATATGGTGAGGATCATTTAAATAAGTTTTTATTCACAAGAAGCTGAGCAAGAATAAGAAATTGATCAAATTCCGCATGAAAGTAATGATATATAAAATAATGTCTTGAAAAATGTAACATTTTAATACTTAATTCACTTAAATATTATACAAACGTACATATAACTGTTCAAAATCAGCTAAATTCGGATCATGTACAGCAGCTTTTACCAAATACAGTGTCAACGTAACACCTGTGCATATGCTGGTGTGTGTTTATATGTTTTGTGACAACCCCTCTCTTGACATTCATCTACATGTTGGCAATGACTTTAGCAGTTTAAAACCGATCTCTCACTCACTGGCTTCAGAAGAGTCTCTTCACAGTTTGGCTGTCTTATAACTGTTGATTGTGTGGCAGTTCTGTCACCGCTTTTCTCTCAGCTGACAGCTAATGGAGTGTATCTTTGGAGCACTGCAACTCTATTTTAAAGTTACAATTACGGTGAAGTTGTCATTACACACTGCAGTCATTTTCATGAAGTTAATTGGAAGAGATTCTTAAAGTTCTCTTGGCTTTTCTTGCAGTGAAAACGGTGTTCAACAGTCTGCCTAATTTTCCTGTCTTAAACTGTGTGTTCAGGTGTGCTGGAAGTCTTATGGATGATAGGGTACGCACAAGTCATGAGTTTTCTATCTAAATTATCCTATATACTAGATTCCACCGCCATATTAAATTTGGGGGAGCTCTCTTATTGGGGGAAGGCTCTGCTCTAATCAAATTGTGCAATTAGAGGAGGAATAGCGGGAGAGGATCTTGGTCTGTACCATTGACCTTTGACACCAACATGAGCTAATGTTGTGTAGGACATGAGCAACTTCATCGGCGCTCTTACATTGTGACCGTAATGTGTAAAGTATCTTAGTAAAACTGCGGACTGGTCAAGGACAGACCGAAGCTGATGCCACCCTTTAGACCCAATTACTTTTAAGCAACAAATTATTGCCATATTTCTTGTTCTGAAATCAATACATTATACACAATACGTTATAATAATTCAACATTCAAATACACTTGATTTTTATCCTGTGTAACAACTGAATTTATGTATTTTGACTCTTTTTTTTTTTTTACAGTTTGTTTTAGATTCTGTCGTCACATTTAATTACAACATATTTAAAACAAAAGGTACATTTTGTACTTTTTATATGATTAATATTGTCCTAACATAATCAGACTCAAAATCACAGCATTGATTAAGCATTTGAGGATATAGTATATTAACATGCACTTTATATAATGTGCATTATTTAGATTGTACTTACTGTAATTATTTCTCAGTTATTAGAACTAATCCAAAACTCTTTATGGCTCGTCCTTCTGTAACCTTTCACAGACAAACAAAGCTGTAGGATTGTAATAATCCTAAACAATCCTTTTGCTCACCACAAGTTTCTGTGTGCCGTAATTGCGTATGAATGTGTTGTGTCTTAGACTGTATGTCGTAAGATTTTTTCATGTAGTCTGTTTACACATAAAATGCTGTCATGTTGCTAAGAAAAACTGCGTCCCAGCTAGTTCTGATCATTTCTAAATCCGTTTTTGATCATTTACTTTGAGTAAAGTAATGTTTTGCTTACAAGGTTTTAGCAGTGTTTTAGTTAAAAAACAATTTATATTGTTGTGGAAATTTGGAGTAACTTAGTCACATTTTCTTTTCTTTTTTTTTTATATATTTATTTAGTCTTTAAATTGTCAAATTTCACCTAATAATTAGCAGAACAATTTTAACACAACAATGTATGTGTATGCGTGTATTTTCTCATACAGTAGCTTCCCCAAAAGGGAACAGGAATTTATCTGAAACATACATATTAAATCTGTACTGTATAAGCTACAAAATGGTTTGATATTTCTCTGGGCTACGTTCAGCAATCTAATTGCTGCATGGTCATTTTTATTGGTTACTGAATGCTATGCCTGTTTTAGTACATTTAAATTCAACATTTGCCAAGTTGCCAACATACAAAGCTGCCACGTTGTGAGGTCAATACAGTAATTGTTTAAGACTACTGTACCGTAGAAACTGAACTCTTTAAATATCATGTGATATTTATTTGAGGGACCAGAATTACTAAAATTTCAGTCGAAATGCCAAATAAACGCTGACTCCCTTTACGTTCTCTGATTTATTTGGAAAAGGATCCAGTGGGGTCTGGGTTTCACTGTTATAGTCTGGTTTACATTTGGGCTCTTGTTTGTACGTGGCTGGGTCTCAAAGAGCAGCCCATCTCCCACCCTGTTTACGACAGTGTATTTACACACATTCGCTCACTGGGCTGCTACGGCGGTT